ACATACATATAATGCGTGCATTAGCGTGCATAGCCCAACTGGTATCACATAACTTTCAGCAGCCTGTGAAAATAGAACTGATTTTCTGATTGTCATCAGTCGCATCAATGGAAACTGCCAATCAATCAACTCGACATCCCCCTAAAAGGGACCTGTTTGCATAATTTATTTAATCAAGGCGCACAAGTAATGTCAGGCTCTGATTTCCTTCCATTCGGTCTAATTGAAACCTGGGCATTATACATAATGTTTCACACTACTTTGCCGGGGTAACGGAACTTCTCCCCTATCGCGGCATTCTCCCTTGCGGCATGCGGCAAATGTCACTGCAATTACCGTACTCACCCCGCCTCCCGCCAATCGATAGGACGCAATATTTTTCGTTGACTGGCTTGCTTTTTCATTGGATTTTATCGTTTTTTCTTCTGTTTCTTTTTAGTTTTCATGTTTATTGGACTTGATTAATTAAAATGACTCCTCTTATATAAACGACGATCAATACCGCATTGAAATTGAAGGGAGCGACCAGCCAGTTCAAATGATTAAAGGACTCCCTACCTCACAAATTGCGCGCTCCAATCTTTCATCGCAATCCTGCGATAGGCGGCGGGTGCGGCGTGTGCGACGCCGTGTTAGGGGAGAAGTTCCCGGACCCACTTTGCCGTACAGCTTTGTTATGGTTGAACCATTTCATTAGTCGACGTTTCGAGCAAATTGTCGTGGATAGAATGTAGTTGGGGGGGGGGCACCCATTAAAAGGCTACTATATCATGTCTATCATGAAATGAACTCAGTGAAACGTGTTATGCCGTGTTATATCACGGACTTGCCAGTTTTTGAATAAGGGCTTCCGTAGGGACGGAGCACCGCTATGGGAAAGTTTTCTTTCTTTTTTTCTTTTTTTTTTTGCAGGAGGAAATCATCCCAGCCACTCAGGTGCTCCTACCCTACCTAGGCTTATTTGGGAAACTAAATTTCCTCAGCCGAAACCGTATAAAAGAGCTTAGCTGGTCGGTTTCCATCATCCTCTGAGTTCATTTCTTGATATGCTGACCTTCGGATGGGTGGCCCCCTCCCCAACTACATTTTCACCAATTGTCGTCTACTAGAACTTAAAGTAGTTCGGAACTCTAGATCTGTGGCTAACTCGGCTAAGCGCCCAAACGCTGGGCCAGTTGCAACAACTTCGAGAAACTTAAACACTAAAGATCACAGTCAAAAAACAAACCTACGGTTCCACCAGTGTTGTCGTATGAACAACAGTTTTTGTAAACAACAATAGAACAATGAGTCAACATTGACCGTCATTAAATAAGAATTACGCGATGATCTCGAGGCCTGCAGCAAAGAATGAATAGCAGAAATCAATTTGATACGGTAATGGACTCATATCGGTTGCTAAGCTTAGGATTTCTCCCGCGGATGTGTAACGATTCCAATGTCTCTCTTGCACCGATCTCATTCTCGTAGGCTACGGATTTGCATTTATTATCGAAATCATGCCCATCATGTTCTTTTAGTCAATACCTCATAAGTGGTGTATGTGGGCTTCCACGCTTTTTACCTGCTGAGTGTCCTTGACGCGTATGCTCACCATACTTCCCGTCTCACAAATCCTACTATATATAATTCACTGAGTGTGTCTGTTGGTTTGACGGTGTGTTTGTGTGTCGGTGTGTACGTTTGACCGGAAATTCATAACTCCTGTTCCCGTGGACCTAGAGCGTTCGAATTTGGTAGGAGTACAGGCGACAGGGTGGGAACACCCATGGTAGGTAGCAGGTCCACCGGTCTCTTCCTACAGGGGGCTGGGCCTGCGCGGTAGAAATTTTTGACCGTAGATTCATAACTTCTGTACCAGCCAACATAGAATGTTGAAGTTCGGTAGGAGTACAGGCGGCAGAACGGGAACACTCATGACGGGTAGCAAAGTCAGTCTCCGCACACAAGGGGCGGGGTTTCCGCGAAATAAATGCTTGGGCGGAAATTCATAATTCCTGTTCGTAATGCCGACGGCGTGGATGCTGACGTAAAGAGTTTGAATTTTGTAGTATCACAGCTTTCCGTATTAACAGTGGAACCTCGGCATTTTTCTAAGTGATGTAGGATATGACGGGATCGTAGGTACTCGGTGACAGGATCCAATAATAATTGATAATAGAAGATAAGGGACCTGAGAGAGCAAGAGCCATCTACCGATCAAAATCGTAACGCATTCGGTATCTGCGATGCTGCTTTGACTGTTCAGTATGTTTCATTCGATAAGACGGAATGGTAGAGTAGGGTGACGAAAGTGAGTGGTAAGTGCAGTGATTGGGACCCTTTGGCGGCACCACGCTGAGCAGATGAGAATTTTAATCATTTCTTGGTACTAGATTACGACCGCTACCCAGCAAGGTTTGCGACTCAATGAAGGATCCTCTTTGTTTGATATCATTTGCTACGAAGCCTAATCGACCGCCAGTAATCTGGAATACTCAACTAATGATATCTCTGTAAAGGAAAAGGTCCATTAATAAAGACATCCGTTAATGATGTTATCATTATTCGAAACATTTGTGAGCATCGCCCGAACTTCGGTTGCCTAACAGTTGAATCTTCAATGGATATTCATCTCTAAGAACGAGAGCAGAAGATCGATACTTCCAATTTAAGCGTAAGCACTGACTTGCACTGAATACGATATGCACTGCTCTGTTAGTCCTGTGTCAGACTCATGTACAGGGAAATATTATTTGTTCCAAAGAAGGAGAAGAAGGTTAGCCGATTACTACAACTTTGTCGAAGAGAGAGGGAAGCCCGCCGTTAGCCGGGCGAACCAACTGGTATATAATAATTCGTAACAGGCTGAACACGGAAGTTGGTACACCGCCTCTCGCTATGTACAGTCCGTTCCTTTTTAGGTGTTCGAGTTTCTTGGAGTTGTTGCAAATGGCCTAGCGTGTTTGGGCGTTTGGTCTGGTAGGCCACAGATCAAGACTCCGAACCACTTCTAGGTCCTAGAAGACGACGATTTGTTCAAAACGTCGACCAAATAAAGCGGCCTTATCATACAAAACCTACACGGCAGAACAGTGTGAAACATTCTTTTCTTCTTTTATCGGCAGTTTCTTTGGCTGGTGTTCGGCAAATAATCTATTTAGATTCAACTGACTGTTCCATTCGCTTCCTGCCCTATGTGTTACCGCCCCAGCTGCGTCAATAAGACACAAATAGAGATCAGATTACTGTCGGTCTTTCCCGTCATATGGTGGCCGATAGAGGAAGTCCAGCTTTTATTCTCATTGTTTCTGTAGTTATCCCTATAATTTTTGCATTTTGCGTGTCATGTTTATTCCACACTGTCTAAAAAGGGCCTAGTTAGGAACACCAATCCATGCAAAATTGTTCATATTTCTCTGATCGTTCGGTTATAATTTCTTCTTAGTGTGACGCTGTCGCTGTATCGAACAAGTACCATAACCTTCACTACCTTTATTACATGTCTATCGTTTCAACTGCGAGTTTAGGAACAATATCTGCGAAAACGAAAACCAGTGGTGTTATGGAGACTTTTCTAGTGTGTAGGAGGTCTCAAAGAACACCCTAAAACCATTATGTCTAAAAAATTTACTTAAATTGCACCACGTTCATGAATTTCCATGCCTCTTAGAATGCTCCCTTCAAATGAACAACTTCAGTTATTTTGCAGCCAGTTTGGCTGCCTCCTTTCCTCCGTTCCGTGGAGTATTCATGACAATCACCTAGTACTGTCAATTTCTGTCACCAGCCTGATATTGATAACTTGGCACTGTACTTCATAAGAGTGGTAATTGCTCAAAGGCGCAGTTCACGATTAGAACGGTTCCTGAGATATCCCTCATTGATGAATCTGTAGCTATCCTGTATACCATAAGTAGCGTTGCCAGGTCGAAAAGCGTTTAGATAGGGCTTTGTAAGGGCTCAAAGATTGAATCAGCTGTAGGCCAAACCCGCCAGACGAGTTTGAACGATGCCATTTCCATCACGGTAAACTCATCCACTATTTTGCTACCTTGAGAAACCTTATGTTTTGCAAAGTCGCCGGATTTCCTCGCTTCCCTTGCCACCAGTAACTTTTTTCACCAACACTTCCGCTTCTCAACTCGAAAAGAGTCCCTCAAAATTATCGTGAGCCCTGCCTCTAGAAGAGGTTGTAGCTTGGACATTTCTTACCGCCGCCCAAACTCAAAAGATCCTGGAGTCTGCGCTTAAGTCAAGTGCCTGTCATCTTTTGCATCCTGCAAGTATATGCACTATGAGCTGCTCGCTGTCTCCAATAGCAGTTGTAATTCTTTCATGTAGTTATTTCTATAGAAGTAGATTGCTTCTTGCATANGCAGTCAGACAACGAAAAGGTAGCTCTGCCATATCCACCGATCGAGATTTGCATAATTGAAGAAGCCTTCTACTGCAATGTCATTTATTCGGCGTCGCTCTTCCCTGTCAAATCAGAAACACTGATTCAATTTTATGGTTTTTGGTTCCCACCTGATTTCTCTCCTTGTGATTTGCACGCTCAAGTGTTCGTAAGGTCTGAGGTCTGAAGTTGTATGTATGATGCGTTGCTAAGGCGTATCATCGATTTGACCTTATTTGGGCGACATATTAGGCCGAAAATTGGGTGTTTGTAAACAAGTGGTGTAGTGTAGAAGATTGGAGAAATTCGTATTGCTTGGATACGGTGAACTTTACGAAAAAGTATTTTCCAAAGCTCATCAACCGAGAGGGATCATTCTGGAATCGATGGTAAGACGCATCTCTTTCTTCAACAGTCAACTATCATGAAAGCTTTTTAGATAAGCTGTACTATAAGGAGGAGCTGTTTCAGATTTCTCGTGAACAGTTCACACAGTGAAATTTTCTTTCGTTAATGGTCTATACTCCGTCGCTCTATTCTGCGAATGATTTTGCCTTTACCTTTTCTCCCTGTTTATACTGATAACAAGTAATCATTTCTCTTTTCAGCAAGTATGATTTAGATGTGCATCTTTTCGGCATGTGGGCAGGTCGTATTCGGCTCTATAATGGTATTGTGCCTCATTCTGACAGCAGTAGCAGCTTTTGATGGAAGTGAGTCGATTACTCGGTCCCGTTTCATCACATAATCGGTTTTTGCATTCAATAAATGCGCTGTCAAGCAGATAAAATTGAATTCAAAATTCTTCATCGTTAAGACTCTGGGATACCGTGTGTCACCCTGAGAAGGAACCTGAAATTCACTTCAAAAAAAGTACAAATTTACATATATACATTTAAGCGTAGTTAATCCCCTGCATTTTCGAATTTTTAAAAACATTTAATGAAGCTGGTAAGTTTAGAGCTCGTACCATGGAATTGTCTGACTGACGAAGATGTGTGCAATCCATGGGAAAAAGTTAGTTACTGATATTTGTTGTTAGACAAAAAAAGAAATGATTTTATCTGGTAAATGAAGACCAATTTAGGCACAAAAAGACTTTCTTATAGCGGTGGCCGTTTTGCTTTGCCTGGCCATTTTGTTTCAGCTTTCATCGCTTGCATGGAATATCTTCACATTGTGAGTACTTTTAACATTTTTGCCGAAAATGGAGCAAAGCGGCTGAAGAGCTCATTCGAGCACTCGAACATATGGAGCAAAGTGGCTGAAGAGCTCATTAGAGCACTCGAGCATACACCTTGTTTGTTTGAGGATGGCCCGAAAAAGTGGAAGGGCTATGAAATTTCTTCTAACGCTTTTTTTAAAATCTGTGATACGGTATTGATCTAAGAACATCTAGTTGGGCCTGCTGCTGTAAAAAGTACGTTATCCACCCATTGATGGGATTATCGCTACTTGTCGCCATATTCCTGCTCGCTGCTGTTATCGTCTATGTGGTGATGACACAAGACGAAGCCCGTGGTGAGTTGAACCTCATACCAAGTGTGATATTATAAGCGCTTGTGCCGTCAACTATGAGGGACTTGAGAAAAGTCCGGGTCACTTAAAAACCGCCCAGTTCAAGCACAGTCATCGGTCAGTGCGGATCCCCGCGAATATAGCTGATTGTGAATATAGCTTGAAATCGTACTCGAACTCAGCGCTTCTGGTTTCCGTCTCCCGATTCGGTTGAGCAAGTTATTCGTAACTCAGACCAAATGTTTCCCTTTTGGAATTTTCATCAAGGCAGAAATTTTGTCCAGTATTCTGGTTGTGTATCTAACAGCTTCCTTCTCTTTCCAGGTCTTATCACCTATCGGCATCATGCATATGGTTACACTTTCTGGTTGGCAGTAGCCGCTTTGATTTTAGCTTTAATCGATACGGTGGTCGCAGGAGTAACGGTGTGTGTAGGAGAGCAAGGGCTCTAACCTTCAAGTTCACTTCATCATCAACTGTCACAATCCTAGTAAAAAGCCAGTTATGGTGCAAGTTTCAAGAAAGAGCCTAGACCTTTTTGCCAGCCGGTCTTAGCCGTAGGGCTCAATGCCGGTGAAAGGCGCTAAATTAAAACTCCAGCTTCCACACATTCTAACTCCTGATTCGTTAATTCGTTTTCACTTTGTTCTTTTTAAATCGTCAATATCATAAAAATCCTGGATCCTTATTGTATATCTATGATTAGAATCTCGTAGGCTTTGCACTAATTAGGGCATTTCACTTATTTCCAATGACACGTACTATGTATGTAACAACGAAAGCTTTTTTTCTCAACAATAAACGGTTTTTTTTCTGTTACGGTTTTTCTGTTTGTTTATTGCTCAGTGGCGGAGGTGGTGTAGTGGCAAGTGGCGCACTAAATCACACTCACGGTCAGGGGTTCGAATTCCGGATCGATGCCCGCCTAGGCCGAATAAGCCTTCCATCCCTCCGTGGTCGGTAAATTGGTACCAGACTCGTCTGGGAGGATAAAAAGCACTGACTTGTACA